TTACAGACGCGTATTTGGAACTGGCTATTTGCACTACTTTTCCACTGTCCATCATGTACATACACTCCTGGCACTCACGTAAGGTAGGTAGGTACGATAGGTACTTTCATGTTGATCATACACAGCTCAGGTTGTATACTTCGTAATACATCAACAATCAGGTTCACCGCCCATCAACAAATGCCATGGACCCTTCCCTTACAGTTATCTTACCTTACCTGCCTTGGTCTGAATAAAGTTCCTGGCCTCCGCATTGCTGTCCCGCATCTCTCGCTTTCTCCCCAATCGCAGCAGCCGAATACTTCACACCCCCTGTCCAGAGGTTGTCCCGCATCGACTACTCTTGCAGCTAATGTAGGCTTCCTGGTCGTCTGATCATTGAGTCCCTTATGCGATCTGATCATCCCAGACATACTCCGTACATACTAAACGAATTAGAGTAAAGGATAATTTCGTTGGAGTACGTAGATGATTGTGGTATATACCAATGTGTCTGAACAAGACGATGAGCATACCTTAGATTGAGCTTGACGCACCAACTACTCTGGCGGACTTGGTTACCTCTCTGGCTGGTCAACCTCATCTAAGCCTGCCGTAACGCCATTGACATATTCGGCCGCGCTGACACCAAGCTTGGCCAAATCTACTCCTCCTTGTCCCGCCATCGCCCGGGACATGGCTCGCACCACTTCCTCTTCCTCCCAGATGCTGCTCGGAGCCATTGAAGCATCGCCATCCGTGTTACCAGCGCTCATCGCGACAACAGTCCGCCAAAACGCATCATCCCGGTCCTTCAAGACTTTATCTCTAACCACGGCATTCCGCGCCACGCTCACTGCGTGCAATTTCGAGCTAGCTCCAGCCAACGACGTTAGCGAAGTCGAGACCAGCTGGTCGACTTGGTCGGCCTGCGAGGGAGGCGCGAAGAAGAATCGGTTCGTGGCGGTTACATAGATTAGCAGGGCGCAGATCCCGTCAAAGATCGCAAAGACCAACGGACGGAGCAGGGTGATTTTGTGGTACAAGCTCGACGGCGGCACCATGCCCGCTCGCACAGCAGCCGAGGCAGACTGAACGGGATCGTATGTCGAGACAATGTAGATGTCGACGGCGGCCAAAGCCAACCCGGCGATGGTGAACTTATTGCGCCAGCTGGCGGCTTCCCGGCCGGCAAAAGGCGCCGAGGTCACCAATCCCACGAGGACCATATGCAAGAGATGAGGGACTAATGTGTTGAAAGGGAGATAGTAGAGAAGATATGTTTTCAGGTTGTCGAGCGAGCAATACTCGCAGGATGTCAATGCATCGGGTCCGTAGCGCAGGTACACCCGCCGCGCCACCACCGAGGTAAATTTGGATCGCAGCAAATTGTCTGTTTCGCTCAGGGTATTGTCTGGCCGAAATCGTGCCAACCTGCTAAAAATGACATCGGTCGGGGTGTTGATGCGCGATCGCGTCAGGGTAAATATACTTGGAGAGGGAGCATGAGGGTTGAACGGGAGGCTGAGGAGAAAACACAGCAGGATGGCGAAGAAGAGGACATTGAGGGCGCGGTGAGTAGCCTGAGGGAGGGGACGAGGTGTCGGACGTGATGCTATAGCAACTCGGAAACTGCGGTAGAAATTGATGGCCCGAGGAATGATGATGGGGGCGAAGAAGATCAATAAAGACTTGATGCTGTGAAGTGGTCAGCATGAGGAACCTGACGTCAGATTAAATTCAGAAACTCACGTCGCAAACGATATCCCAAGTTCAACCATCTTGCCCGTCAATTTATTTCAACCACCTGGCTGCCACATGTCCCTGAGATGGATGATGACAGCTAAGTGGATGAGGCTGATGGCCATATTGCTGATCTTATCACTGATGCCAAGAAGGCGCTTAACGTTGACCAATCAAAGACCATTCGTATAGTTCTTTTGATTGACACAGCACAGAATCACTTTGGCCAGATGAATTGGATAATTAAATTGTCTACAGAAATACAACAAAGGCAATGTCTGAATAAAATCATGGGACTGCAGCCAGTAATGCCAAGCTCTGTAAAGAAAGAATTTCCCCAGTCAGTGAACGCCCTCGCTAATATACCATTGGGACAACAACCCCTTTAAACGCCCCCTCTCGCCACAAAAAAGGGTCAAGGCCTAGACCTGTGAAGAGTACATTGCCGGATGATGAGCCAGATCTGGAATGGTCACACCCGATGAGTCTCGCGAGTACTTTGATGACGCGGCATCGTTCAAGTTCATTGGCGGGGATATCTTCAGTGGAAAGCGAGTCATGCTCCGCATGGACACCTGCCTCCTCACAGGTGAATGCGAAGGAGTATATGTTGGAAGCGAGTCCTCTCGCTTTATACCGAGTTTGAACGATCGCTGGGAGCTTGCTCGTGTGACGACTTTCTGAGGCGCTACTGCCCCATAGACTCGTACATGCCGTGAAGTGACCCCAGCGGCGCGGTCTGAGAAAATGAAGCTCTAAAGTAATTGACAAAGTTAGCATTCGCTTCCTAGGTCATGAGCAGAGAAGGTTCACTTACCGACGCTAGATTGATGACACTCATGACCATGGCCAGAATACCTGCGGATACAACAATCCTCCAGAACGCAAGACCAAGTGATTCCTGACTCGTGGCTGGCGTATTCAGATCGCCCAAGACCCCCATTCCAAGTATAAGCATTGCCGCAGCCAGGGTGACGAAGCCGGAATCCTGGCCTAGCAATGGCCAATTGCGGTCGAAGTAGCCGCGGAAGAAAGGTAATTCTGAGAGTATAAGAAAGACTGTCGTGCGTCAGTATACTTGTCAAGTCCATGATTCACCATAGCGGAAGGGACCACTTACTGCTAACTCCTGCAGCCATGACATGGGAGACGGCTTGGAAGAAGAAAAAGCTGCTTAAAAGAGAGATCTTCACTGTCATCACAATGCTGGCAGCGATGATGTCCAGGAAGACGATAATATTGAGTACTCGTATGGCGTTCAAGATCACAAATCCTGGACCAGCCAAGGACTCTTTCAATGAAGCCATCATGATCAAAGTATGTATTATCGCAAGCGAGAGCACACTTCTGCACGACAAGACGCCACTACCAAAAGATCATGCGAGAATATCGAGGACTCGGATCGAGTTAAGATGCGTTTTCAAATGATGCTACAAGAGACAGTAGAAGAAAATTGAAAAATGAAAGCAGAGGCACAAGAACTGACCAGCAGGACTGTGTTGACTCGAATACTGGAGGAGAGAGAAGGAGAGAAAGAGCAGACTGGCGAGGTCTACTCGGGTGTTAAAGAAAGAGCAAAAGAGTGAACAATGAAGTGACAAAAGATAAGGGCCCTATTGAACCAGCATTATTCAGGTTCTTTCCTTTGGGCTCTAGCGCCAGACAATCCTGGTTCTTCTCAGAATAGGTAGCGAGGCCTAAGTGAATGTAGAAAGACAAAGGTTGCTGACAATGGGCATGGATTCTGAATCTGAAACACAACCTGATGGGCATTGAGGATCAGGCCATCTATTCATGCCATGAACAATGGTGATGTCTTCAGAAATGGCATAGACACTTGAAAACTGATCCAAAAATAATTCTGCGGTTCATCCTTACAACCACTCTGCGCAGCGCCGTCTGGGAAGTGCGGCCCATCACAGGGACCCTGCTGGAACTGAGATTAGCCTTGGTTTGTATGCTATTGTTCTCAAGCCTGTATTTACTCAGGCGTCAGGCTCGGTCTCAAATCCTCATTGCGAAAACAAAGCGAGTAGTTATCACTGCGAGATTGTCAACCAGTCTGAAACAGCCGTCTCATTCGCTTGCCTTGCTACATCTGACGATTGGCCGTCGTTCAACTATTTTTGCTTCAAGCGATGTTTGAATAGACTTCACTGGGCTCCAATTGATCCTCTCCCGACCCTCAGATCGCAAACGAGCTACTTAGTCTCAAATCAGGCGCTTACTCTTGTAAGGACCCGCAGGAACTTGGTCTATGTCAAGAATCAGGGCCCTATAGGCCCGCGACTTGACAAGATTAAGCGCCTGTGAAGGTTATATGGTTTCACTTCAAGTGATGCCAAGTTCTCCATTGAGATTTTGGGAAGATACTATCTTGCAAGGCTGAGATCAGAGCTAACGAGCGAAGTTATGGCTGACTTCCCTGCACAACCGATGACATCGGGCTCGGTAGAGTCGAGTCGACGCAAGATAATCTACGATACTACTAAGTACCACACTGCACCTCGGTCATTTGCATCTGCTGTCCTGCTCAAATTGAATAATGATCCGACCTAAACAGTAGCTTCGACCAATTAGCCACCTAGTCCAGCCGCCGAGATCCAAGCGCTTCTATTGCATTCAAGACGCGAGCGCGATAAGTGCGACTGTCATGGTAAGCCAAGATCATGTCTCCTGAGTGTGACTCTCTCCTTGAGGTTCAAGGTTCTGCACAGGATGCGGAAGAAAGTGCACAATCTCTTGTCCGGCTAAGTTGGCATAGGAGTATTGTATGGAGCAATAGGTGATGCATGGCATGGTCCATCTTAGAAGGGCTCGATTTCAATTTTAGCTTGAAACATCAACCAACTGGCCCCTTTGTTAAGAATGTTGCTTCAAATCTGTGGTATTGCCATTTCTGTGTTAATGTGTTGATACTGCATTGGGCAAGATGCTTACTCGGCACCTTGTGATAGTTCCCAGAAGACAATCGCTCTAATTGTTTGTCACTAACTTATGCCTGAGGCAAAAGATGCAAAATGTGTTCATATTATAAGTTGGATCAATCTGATTCCCCTGGTGTCGTGGTATGGGGCAGATTATGGAAAAGCTGGAATTCGGGGGCTCGGCGGAGAATAAAGGAAAGCCATGGATCCAGACGGAATCTTCACTTAACGGCCTAGAACTTTGCTCTCTTCTTACCTTGACTCTGTGCCAAATTTGGGGCTCGAGATACAAAATATTGCTCCTCTCCATTTCTGACTGCAAGGACAGCATAGAACACCTCAGCAGTCAAAATGACCCGCGGAAACCAGAGGGACAGAGACCGTGAGAAGGCCCTCAAGGCCAAGGCCAAGCAGGTCAGTTTTCATCCCCGCAACCGTCCCACAGGTCTCACAGCAACATGTCAATCTACAATGCTCTCTCAATCTAGAATGCAGTTGCTAATATCTCTGGCGTCTATAGAAGGGGGGGAATACCTTGAGTGGCACCGAGTTCCAGCGCGCAAAGGAAAACAACGCTGCGATCATGCGCGCAAAACAGGCAGCGGGTAAGCGCGCCCAGGAGTTTTACGCTGTGATTAATGTGCTAACGTATTTCGCCTTTCCCTACAGCGGACGCGAAAAGGGCAGCCGAAGCAGCAGCAGGGAAAAAGAAGTAACGACTCCATTACGGAATCCGTCAGCAGCTTTTTCACCGGCAATTCCGATCTCCGTCGCGCTGCTTTCCCATCACTGTTATCAACCCTTCGGCCGTCATGCTCCGGTTCGGTGCATAATATCACTTCCGCAACCTCATAGGACCCTCAGACATTAGCTACTTGGGCAAGATTGGTTGCGCGGATTGCTACCCTGGATGAACGAGGTGGCTATATGATATTTGTGTCAGAGAAACGGAGGTTGCCTATAAGCCCCTCAGGTTGCCGTTCCGTAGGGTTGATCTGGAGTATCTTGGAGTCGTTGGCGCGTTTACTCCTTTACTAGAGCATTTTTACAATTAGCGAGGCGTTTCTTTCAGAATATGGCGTTCAGTTTACATTGTAAATTCAACTGATGCTGGACCATTCACTAGGAGGACATGAGGTCTATGACGACCGGGGACCAAACTAATTACTCGCTTGCTACCAGACATGACCAGGCTCCTCGATCGACCGTTACAGTTCTGCTGTTATGCTGCCAGTTCGTCGCTCGACCAACGTTCCTTTGCCTTGGCCATCCATGTCTTCCACGATTCCTTCGACTCGCTTTTGGCAGTGTGAGCCAGCGTATCTATTGCGACGAGACGAGTCTGTGGTGCCTCCTCCCGTCCACATAGCTGACACCGAACAGTTTCCACCACATCAAATCTCGTAGTAGCCAGGTGTACAAACGTCCAGAGACTCTCGCCTTCCCAGCGGACGTGCACTCCAAACTTGACAGCCTTGTTGATGATAGCCAAAAGTGTTTCTCTGTGCGAAATAGTTCCCAGCAAATAGAGCAGAAACATCCAGCTAGATATATCCGCAGGATGAGCGAGGCACCAATCCAAAGTCTCTTCGGTGATAAGCAAAGCCAATCGGGCGGAGTTATCCGCCCTGTGCTCAATCTCGTTTAGTGTGTCAGTCAAGGCCACATGAAGCCGGCGCATATAGCTGAAAGCATAGTAATTTTTGGGATGGAGCTCCCCTGCGCGGAGCACAACGGCCAGCTCGGCCTGGAGCATTTCCTGGAACTTTGCCGCAATACCAAGCATACTTTGACCGGGGTCTTGACGCTGCGAAACGGCAGTTCGCGGTAGTTGGAATGTCGAGCCTGGCCGCTGAAGCTTAGCTATATGGTTCAAGAGCCATAGACGGTGTTGCCATAGTGTTGGAGACTTGGTGTGCCGATGTAGAGGAGAACATAGATAGGTCGTCATGAGAGAACGTTCTGTTTCCAGTGCGTGGATCAGGCTCTCGCGACCAACTTCGTCCGTACTATGAAGATCCTGCCCTTTGATCAAGGCGTCAAGTCGCCTTTTCCGCCAGTTGCATGCCGTGGTATGCTCACAGTCGAAAAGCAGGATGATCTCAGACGCAACCGACGCTTCGTCTTGTGTAATTGCATCTGGGCACTTCATCCCCGGAAAGATGAGGTCGGGCATAGAGCCCATATGCTTGAAGAAAATACATCTGGCGATCACAAAGGCCTGTATCAGATATTTCTTGGTGATGCCTATCGAACACCCATCTTGAAGGAGAGGGCCAACCTGCGGCGGCAGAATCTCGATTTCAAGAATGCGACTGTCTCTGCTTCTGAAAATCTGAGCAAGTTCCTGGTACGCATTTTCTGTAGTAGACATTTGGTTGTCCTTGTTATCTGGACCACATTGGCAGTGCAAATCTCAGAACCTCCCTCTATACATTGTGTTGTATGGCATGGCAATAGGCATGCTATTGATTGTTATCATTTGTTTAGTGGTACCGCCAACAGGCGGAACGCACAGATCGAGGCCACCTTGGACAACGTCATTTCGATCACGAGCTCTCCTCCATCAACCTCACAAATGCGGTTCTAATATTGTGTTTATCTCCTACGGGTTCTGAATTTCTGGCACGGCTTTAAGAAACTTGCGCAGCATAGTTTCTGCAAGTGGGATCGTGGCTCTTTAATTCTGGCCTCGATACCTCTGCGAACTTACGATAATTCTTACCCTTCTGAAGGCCATATTCCATACGCAACAAGATGCTATCGCTCATTCTGACGATATTCTTTGTCCACGTCGCCATTTATTTGGTGAATACAGTCGGCGCAACCACGATTGATACTCTGGTATGTTCCTGCTTAGTGCACCACTAGCATGGCAACGCTGCCAGTTTGCCACTGCCCCAGACAGAGTAATCAGCGATTCTAACTGACGTGTTCTGCAGCTATGGATTCTATACCTCAGGCTCCCTACATCGACATCGAAGAATGCTCGCGAGCAGAGCCGACTGAAGCGCGAAGTCGTCCAGCTCAAGCGCGAGATGAACAACACGAGCTCCCAAGATGAGTTTGCCAAGTGGGCTAAGTTGAGGAGGAAGCATGACAAAGCTATGGATGAATACGAGACAATGAGTGCGTAGCCTGCTCTTTTTACGCCGAAATACTACGCCCCTCACTTCACATGTCGAGGTTCACGCCCAGCTGATTGATCGCTTTTGAAACAGACAAGAAACTCACGGCACAGAAAACCTCGTTTGACTGGAGTGTCAAGATCGCTCGGCGGCTCAGCACCAACGGTCTCAAGATCTTTCTTCAGTTTTACTACTCCAAGACTCCTGTCTTTGCGCTTCCGGCAGGCTGGTTTCCCTCCTACGTTGAATGGGTACTGTCATTCCCCCGAGCGCCTCGCGGATCGGTGAGCGTCCAAGTTTGGAATAGTGTCTGCGCGACAGCGATTGCCGTCATGGCAGAGATTGTTACCTCTATGTTGCTGCAGTTGAGAAGTCGGACCGCAAGCCCTGCTTCGACAGCAAAGGCCCAAAAGGCGCAATGAATAGAATGAATGTTTGCAATGTTATATATTACGCATTATGGAAAATGTAGACTAAAGACGCATGGAGTAACTTGATTGTTTCGTTCTATGATAAGCGCAGAAGAGTGAACATGTTCGTCAGATATGAAAACAATCGTTTATCGTCACAACCCCATGCCGTAGCAGGAGTATCAGGGCTTGACTCTATGATTGGTATATCATCACACGAACGCAATGTGCATGTCAACGAAAGACAGAAAACAAAAAAACAAAAAAAATGAAGATCCGAGTCCGGCCCCTTCGACAGGGCTTCTGTGACCATAGATCCAGCCACCGCTTTGCAATAAGCTACAGACTCAAAAGTAAAAGAGCGATGAACTCCTCGCCTCAAGAATAAGCCCCATTGAGTTACCCGATCCTCCAAAAGGAGGATCAGGGCAATCGCATGACTATCCAAACACGACGAAAGGCAACCCAATGAAACAACCCCTCTCCGACACCCCGCTATACCACCATTGTTTCCACCGCGAAGGGCGTCGGATATAGGCATGGGCGCCGGGAGGGAGTAGGGCAGTCAGCCGCTATCAAATTGCTTCTATGGCGGCGCGTTTCCGCATTGCCTGCCACGGATCCAGAGGATCGGGCAGGGTGTCCGGGGACTTTCTCCCAAAGCTAGGTCTCCTCCGGTGGAGGAAGGAGAATACCGGTTAGATATCCTGTGTGTGAGCTTTGAATGCGATTCTTTGAGCGAGGAGTTGAGGAAGGAAGAAACAAAGTTGGCACGAAAAAAGTTTCGGCTTTTTAATGCTCGGTTGACCCGCTGGTAGAATCTAGTCTGTTTGAGGACTAGTTTATCACGTGATGGGACTCGAAGTCCACCAATCATCGTTGCGTTTACCTTTAGTATCAGGTCTCAGAGCCGTCCATACCTCTAGAATGGCTATGCACTGCGCATCAGTAGCAGAGATTACAATAGATATGTTAGATATATACTTTAGCATCATGGCCATGAGTGATAAAGTCTTATGAGATTCTACTCCGGGGCTGAGTAGCCGAGAGTGGTTACAGCAACTCTTGTCACAAGACATTATACATTCAACAATTTATGCCAAAAAAAAAAAAAAATTGCAGACCCTTTTGTGCTAACAAGATACAGAGAACATGGAAATGGTAGTCCTACGCCTTCGCCTTCTTGGCCTTCTTGTCCTTGACCCCAACCTTTGTCGCCGGTGAAGCGGCAGCGCCATTTACTCCCTTTTTCGCCGACGCCTTTTCGCCATCCTGCTTGGGTGTCCCCTGCTTAGGAGTCGATTGGCTTCCCTTCTTCTCCTTCTTGGACTTCTTAGGAGTCTCGTCCACGGTAGTCTCCTCCTTGGACTCCTGGGCCGAGGGTGCCTCGATAGCCTTCACGGGCTCATCGGCAGTCGCATCGGCAGCAGCTTCAATCGCCTTGGTATCTTCTTGGACAGGAACTTCGTCGACGCTCTTCAGCTGGGGAAGCTCATACTCATATCCCAGAGCCTTCAGCTTCTCGGCCTTTGCAAGTCGTCTCTTCTGTTCCCGCTCAATGCGCTCCGACCATTGTTCCCTTGTCTTGCCCTTTTCCAGCCTCTTCTTCTCGATGCGGTTCCACGGAGTGCGTTTGAATCGTCTGTTGGCACCCTTCCAAACCTCCGGGTGCAACTGATCGGAGGGGACGTATTTGCATTTCAGGATATGACCATACATCAGGTAGTTGTCCATAGTCTCCGCGACAATCTTGGCAACAGTGTTCGAGGCGAACTCCACGAAAGCGTAGTGCTTTGAGCGGCCGGTGATGCGGTTACGGGAGAGACGCAGGCGAGTGATCTCGCCGAACTGGGAGAAGTAAGCGCGCATCTGATGTTCGTAGAAACCGTGGGGAATACGTCTGTGGAAAGGAGATTTGTAAGTCTCTGTCACAGCGGAACAGCAAAGAGAAAAAGACTGCGGAACTTACCCAACATAAACCGTTCCGGGCGCTTTGGGCTCATCGTGCTTCTTTTGCTTCTTCAAGATCTTGCGCTTTGCCTTCTTGGAGTCGGGGATCTTGGGAACCGGCTGGTCAGGGTCAAATCCTTCGTCTCCGGACTCGTCCTCATCGCCGCTGCTCTCGAAACCCTTGATCAGAGCGGCTGTCTGATCGTCTAGAACATCATCTTCCTCGTCTTCAGAGCTATCTTCAGAGACCACAGGGACCTGCTCGTTATCCTCATCGTCCGACTCTTCGACGACAGGCTCAGGCTTCTTCGCCTTGGGCTTCACAGCAGCAGCACTTGTCTTGGCCTTTGTAGCGGGCGCAGGAGTGCCGTCTTCCTTCTTCGACTTCTTCTTACTGGGCTGCTTCTTCTCCTCGGATTCGGCCTTGGGTTCGGACGCAACAACTTCCGGCTCACTCTCGTCGCTGAGGAAATCCGCCGCACGCTTGCGAGGCTTGACCTGTCTTGCTGCCTCGCCATTGAGCTTCAATTTGGAAGCGGACTTTTGCTCTGCAGCAGGGGCATCCTTCTTGTTCTTCTTCAGAATAGACTTGGGGGTTTCTTTGGGGGCTTCGCTAGGCTTGGCCTCGACCTTCTTGGTCTTCTTTGCGGGCGAGTCGGCGGCTACTGTGGTGGCAGCTGTATGGTGTTAGAAAACAAGGCAATAGCAGAAAAGGAAAATCCAGAATGGACCTACCCTTGCGCTTCTTATCCTTCTTATCGGGAGCCATATTTCTGGTTATTGTGTGTTGTATGCTAGGTTGAAGCACCGCAATCTGACCCTACCAAAAAAGGTGCGGGAAACTTTTTTTTTGGTCTCCCATTTTTTCTCCGACGGGTCGACCGCCAAGCGGTGAGTTTGGTCTCCGCAGGCACCACAGCGGGATTCCTCGATACAGTAACCAGTAACTGATCATCTACATAATTACAACTGCTCATAAAATGGGGAAAGTCAAGAATACGAATAGGCCTCTGACACAGGAAGAAATATGGGACGATTCCGCCCTGGTTCAAAGCTGGGATGAAGCGGTCGAAGAGTACAAGGTACGTTTCGTCTATATCTCACGTGACTTGTTTCTGACATCGTTCCAACAGTTGTATCACAGCATCCATGCCAAAGGAGAGAACGTCGAAGATGTTCTCAGAGAGGCAGAGGCTGCAGAGCGTGCTGGGATGGATCAGGAGGAACAGCAGCCTGATGAAGCTGTCGATGCCATGGAGGATGATGACGCAGCGAGGACGGCAGCATCGGCTACAGCACAACAAAGCTCATCAATGCAGGTACCAGATGTGAGTCGGCCCCTTGCAGGACTGAGCAAGCGAACTTGACTTTCTGACTCTTTTCAGGCCGCAGAGGTGTACCCGACAGCGACTGATCACCAGCCCTCCGAGACGAAACATCCAACGGAGCCTGCTCCTGTGGGAGCAGCTGCGATGCCACATGCTGCTTTAGCACAAGGTAACCTTCCCTGTACAGCGTTAGCGTCGGCGATAACTAACTTTGAACATTTAGTCCAGGACGAAGGGTTGAGGAACCTGATGATGGCCTGGTATTTTGCCGGGTACTACACCGGTCTATATGAAGGGCAACAACGAGCGAGCCAGAACAACAGCTCATGATATTGTCTTTGGTACTCGAAAGGGGTAACACTTTGGAATATGAAACAGCCAGTCTGTTGGACGGGAAAAGGCTCACAAGAAGTGACTACGCCCCAGAGCAGAGCTGGTTCCACGAGACTACGCTGAATGGTGTGGTAGGGGCACATGTGAGTCTGCATCTCTGAAAGCAACCTGGTCAAACTGGCCGACAGCCTGAGCGGGGATAGAGACAAGAAGTCGTTTATTCGATCATTAGCTTATTGTCCAGGCACTGTCATCCGCCATCATCATCTTCATTATTTTACATATAACTCGCCACGAGCGTCACAACAGATTCTGGCTAGGTGCTACTGTGTTCAAGTCCAAGGCAAACTCAGCTAGAAAACTGGAACCCTTAATCATCTTGGACCAATGCGTGCTAGTGCCTCGTTGCCCTCAATGATGTGTTTTCTTTGTCCCAAGCAAGCTACTGGATATCAAAGCATAGGTGAAGTGCATCCAAACACGGAAGTTTACAGCCTGTTCCATCATCGTAACTTGCCGTAGACCAGTGATATTTTCGAAAATTAGTAGGTAAAAAGAAATTCCATTTTCATTTGAGATTCTAATTAATGTACTAGTCAAAGAACCAATCTTCCTTCCATCGCACCACAAACACCCAACACAATCCCGCTCCCAAGTAGGAAAGCAAGGCAGAGCCTGCACACAACAGTTCCGATAAATGATCAGCTCCCCGAACTCGGAGAACTACAGTCAACATTTCCAACCGCCCCTGGGCGAGCTACACACCTTCACTTTGTCCTCGACACATGTAATCTACCGAGTTGGCAGAAGGCTTCCCAGACCCGCACCACCTCCCAACACACCTCCAATGATTGGAATGTGCGAGAGCATGTTCTCCGAGCTGGTCTTCTTCTTCGGAGTAGGGGCAGCAGAGCTGCTGGCAGCGGCGGGGGTCTGCACCGTGGTGCGAGTGCCCGAGGGGATGGGCTGTGGCGTGGCGGTTCCCTCCGTCACATTGGCTCCATGAACAGCCGAGGCCTTTTCAGGGGTGGGCTTCTTCTCATCCGCATTTTCAAAGGCCTGATTTGAGTCAGTTTGTGAGTTTGAATTGAACTTGCGGAGAGGAATGTTGGCGGCAGAGATACGCACCTTGAGAGCACTGAGAGCGGCCGAAACAGCATCAGAGGCGTCCAAATCGCCGTCGTCACGCTTGGCGGGCAAGGCGGAGACCATGAGGGCCAGGAAGAAGCAGAGAGCAAGGAAGGACAAGCTGAAACGAGCCATTTTGGACGAGGAGAAGAGGGGGTATTGCGGTTATTGTGGATGTGATCCTGAAAGGAAAGAATATATCGAAGGAGAGGACGCCGTCAGGCACAAAAAGAGAGTTATCTGGCTTGCAACTGCAGTGCTTCACACGAGACAGTCAAGGAGGAAAACTCAACAGTTGACCATCAGCGAGGTCGAGGCCATGCTTTATAGGTAACATTCTCATCCTGGAAATGGAAGGGAGAACGGAATGTCAACTCAGAGAACCCTCCCTCCCCTTATCGGATTGCGCGTCTCTACGAGGATACTTAAGGAATGCCCCCAGCCTCGTTTACCGAATGTAAAAGCATATTCTCCTGACGGAGGTTTGCGTATGCAAGTTCCGCGGGTCAGCTACCTGCCTTGGAACCAAGCAAGGGAGGAATATCAAACTCGCACCTGCAGCTTCAAGACATTGTCCCTTGAAGTCTTCAAAGCCGGTTTACATTCTGACCCAAGGAGGCAAAGAAAGAATGTAGATCACCATCTGCCCTTGCAAGCGCCACCTTACGTAGCTGGCTTAATGAGAAGAGCCCGCTTCAGAGTCAAGATATTTGAGGCGAAAGCTTAAATGATGTTTGAAACAGAGCTGCGCGCCAGGGTTGATGAAGTACGATGGGTGGTAGAGCATCAGTGAGAAGTAAATTCGATTCATTCGTAGTCCGGAATTATAAAAGCTAAGAGACCACGACACATTCCACCGTCGATGTTACGGCTAGTTGATACCTGCGGATGGTCATGCAGTCATGTAGAACAGTACTATTGGAATGTACCTCCCTTCTTTTGACCCGTACCGCTCCATGTGATTGAGAGCGGACGCAACACGAGGGAGATCTTAAGCAACAAGATGTTGACTCATTCTCGGCATGATTTTGACCTCGAATATCATGGAAGAAATGACGGACGAGACTTCGAAAATGCCTGATGATCGTATGTAGGAAAGCGAGAAAGTTGTAGCCTACGAGGAGTGTCAATACCATAGTGACCTGTAGGTTAGTTCGCGAGCGAGCATTGAGCATTGATCGATGGAGGGTGTCCATGGGATGATCATCTTCATCCCATTTGAACATCCATTCCGTAGAACCGATTGCGATCGAAGCAGAAAAGAAATAGTTACTATCTGCCATAGGAGATATCGGAATTGACTCCCTTCAAGGGCTGTATGCTCAAAAGCGAACCCAATCACCTCGTGCACGTAAGGCAGGTGTTGGGATTAGAACGAGCACGCGATAATCGCTCTCGGTCTCGACTCTAAAATTTGTAGACGGAACGGATAAGCTTTGATGGTCAAAACAATCCATCAACAAGGGTATGTTGGAGACCTGATAAAGGAGAAAAGAAGAGAAGGGAGGTGAAAGAGAAAACGAAACGCAAAATTTATTCCGTGGTGGGAATCTCGAATTAGGTAAGCAGGCTTGTGCGGTCAAACTTCCAACCGGTCCCGAAGAAGATATAAGTACGGAGTACCTAGCTGTTGCAAAACAATTGTATCTACGTTTCATAAAGTATTCAAAACGATATATTGCCGTCCTTAGAACCTCATTAAATGGTAAACGTTATGGTTATTTTTTTTTGGATCAAAGAGTCCTCTTGACTTAGAAGCGAGCGAGCACTCTCTCCTGAGTGTCACCCAGGGCCCACTCGTCGGTGTGCTTCTTGCTGAGGACCGACTTGACTTGCTCGGCTGTAAAGCCCTTTGCCTCGACGGCTGGATTGTATCCAAGTCCAGTGATCTTGCCGACGGCATCTGAAGGCACTGCGGCCGCAGCCTTACCGTCCGCGCGCTTGTATACAGTCACGACGACGGCACCACCCAAGCCAAGGTTGTGCTGCAGTGCCGCATCTGTTCCCTGGATCAATCGGTTGTTGGCCCAGCCACGCAGGTGCCAGACCAGCTCAGCACACTGCGCAAGGCCGGTCGCACCCAGGGGATGACCCTTGGATATGAGACCGCCCGAGGGATTGATGACCATCTTGCCTCCATAGGTGATATCACCTTTGCGAACCATCTCATGCGCCTTGCCGGGCTCACAGAGCTCGAGCGCGTCGATCGTGATCATCTCATTGGCAGAGAAGCAGTCGTGCAATTCGCAAACCTTGATGTCTTTAACGTTGACGCCAGCCTCAGCAGCGGCTGCCCGACAGGCGTAGCGGGTCATCCCAAAGCCCATTAGGTCGATCGAGCTTCTGTTGTAGAGAGTGGGTGTGTCCGTTGCAAGTTGCTGACCTGCAATCAGAATCGCCTGTTCTTTGAGGTGGGGACGAGCGTCCAGGAATGCCTGGGAGACGATCACAGCAGCAGCACCTCCGTCCGAGGTCGGACAGCACTGCAGCTTGGTGAGTGGCTCGTGAATCATAGGCGCCTTGAGAATCTGCTCGAGCGTGTATTCATCCTGGAACTGCGAGTAGGGGTTGCGCTTGGAGTGTTCATGGTTGATACGAGCGATTTCAGCGAAGTCTTCGTTCTTGGCTCCATACCTGGAGGAGGTCAGTACGGCAGGGTAAATGATGCAGCATATAGTATGGTTCCAACATACTTCTCCATGTACTCCCGACCAGCATTGCCAAACATCTGTGCAGCACCGGGGGCGTTGGTGATTCCTCTCGTCTCAGCCATCATCATACCGAAGAGACCAGTCGGATTGGCCCGGTCGTTGTAGACCGACTGCAAGCTTCCAGGGCTCATCTTCTCGAAACCAATGACAAGAACACAGTCCGCAACACCGTGGGAGACCATGGTGCGAGCCATGGCCAGGCCGGTTGAGCCGGTTGAGCAGTTGTTGTTGACATTGTAGATGGGGATGTTGGTCAGACCGAACTGGTAGAAGACACGCTGACCGCAGGTGCTATCACCGTAGACGTAGCATGCAACGCCTTGGTCGACATCATCGTAATTGATATGAGCGTCCAGCATAGCCTTGACACCGGCCTCAAATCCGAGTTCATGGTAGTCGACCTTGCCACGAGGCTTGATAAACTTGGTCATGCCCACGCCTAGGACGTAGGCGGGCGCTACTTGCTTCTTCCCCATGCTGATTAGTTGGGCCTCTGGGGGTACGTAAATGTTGTGTCGTTGGAAGATACAATATTGAAGATATTGAGCACCAGATCAAGGAAGGGTATGATTGTCATAGATATAACATTTGCCGTCAGCGAACGTGTGGAGAGCTACGCGAATGCGGAGAAGAATTGTAGTTGTTTGAAAGCATCCCCATTATTGGATTGCGGGGGATAAGCCGCTGCCGCGACCGAGGTCCCGAGGATATTTGGTTGATCATGCCCGCCATGCATCCATCAGAGCGCATAAAGAGGATATGTACGGAGTACGTGGTAGTCGTATGGTTCATATGATTGTCCTGGCATATCCGGAACTTTTCTTTTTGCTTTATGTCCATATCCGTGATCGACTTGGGATAGAATAAGGAATGAAGGCAGCCGATGCCATACCGCACGTGAATGGAGTGATGCTGAGGGAGAGGAGGAGAGAATAACACATTAGGAGAAATATTTACTATAGAGTATAACAGCCTCATGTACTACAGTACAGACCTGGTATAGTATTTCATCCCCTCCTCAGGGATTCCTGTTGATCTAATGCTAATAAAACATCTAAAGTAACTAATCATCTTATGTCCTTATACAAAGCTCTTTTATAAATGATCTATCTGTATGTCTTGAGTAAGAGCTTAGTGAACAGTGCTTATACAATGATAGCATCATGCACTGTGTTAATCCACATTTAATTATCTATATCTATCAGGTGCCAACTTATAACTTATGGTTATAAATATATGATTATGGCCAAGTCCTCAGACGAATTCACCGAAGCAGGCCTTGGACAAGGGCATGAGCCCCCAAGTCTTTGTTGACACCATAAGAAAAGGGAACAAGTGTATGTGACCTTTCTGGATAATGAACATCTTTTGAGTCGAGTAAATGCTGACCTTCGCCTCACTACCACCTCATCTTTTACTTTACTTCTCAATTTAGCCTCTGCTCAAGGCATTGGCCTACCTCAGTATCACGAGTACGGCAATAGATAAATACTGATTACACCCTTCAACCTTCTGTCTTCAACCTTCTATCTTCTCTCTTCATGACTACGATTGACTCATATCACGGCTGATAAACATACACGCGCACACAAGAATAACAACATGCCTAAGCAGAATGTTGCAAAGATTATGGAGACAGCAGCCTCTCACCCAATGCTAACCCCACGAAGACACAGAGACGGCGAAGGCCGACAGAATGAAGAAGACTGGAGAATCATCGAGCCATATATTGAGGACACGCTCGTGCTGCCACGCAATGTGCGGTTATCCGATCTACAAGTCTTCAAAATCATAACCAATACGAAGATCACTCGAAAAGAAAGATCGGACAATTGGCCTCGTGACTTTGACCCTTGAGGAGGAATCCGGCCTGAACGGCCTCCGACAAGTCCTACCATCCACATCACAAAAAGATCAAAACGATACTTCCTGATATTTGGAGAGTATTACATACTCTGTGGCACACCTTGCATGCCACTCAAGGGGTGGCTTACGGGCAGTTGGACGAACGGGACATGTGGCTCGAAGACGAGACTATCGTTTGGTCTGGTCGAAGTACCAGCGATTGCTGAGTGCGACTCCGCAATCATTATAGATGCGGACGCAACTGACTCATCTGTTGCTATAAGGCGCCTGAAAATGGGCCTTTGAGCTATCAAATATGAAAACCATCCACTTGATACGCAAACCACCAACCATCAAAACATCTTCATTGTTAAAACACCAGACAGTTGCTATCAACACATTTCCGCACTGAGGACCTTCAAAGACATGAAGTATTCTAAGCTCAAGGGTCTATCACAAAGACAGTTGCGGTCATAAGCAAAGGAAAGCTGTATGCTGTTAATGCTCAGCTCATTAGAATGTGACGGAGGCTAAGGGCTATAAGAAGCAAAGACCTTACATGAAGCCTAAGCAACATGA